TTGTCTATCTTGTTGATTTTCTCAAAGAACCAACTCTGTGTTTTATTAATTTTTGTATTGTTCTCTTGTTTTTATTTTATTGATTTCAGCCCTCAATTTGATAATTTCCTGGCATCTATTCTTCCTGGGAGATTTTACTTCTTCTTGTTCTAGAGCTTTCAGGTGTGCTGTTAAGACACTAGTGTGAGATTTCTCCATCTTCTTTATGTGGGCATTTAGTGCTATGAATTTCCCTCTTATCACTGCTTTTATAGTGTCCCTTAAGTTTGGGTATGTGGTGTCTTCATTTTCATTGATCTCTAGGAAGTCTTTAATTTCTTTCTTTCTTTCTTTCTTCCTTAACCCATTGGTTATTCAGTTGAGCATTATTCAGTTTCCATGAGATTGTAGGTTGTCTGTAGTTTTGGGGGTTTTGTTTGTTTGTTTGTTTTTTGGTTTTTCAAGACAGGGTTTCTATGTGAGTTTTTGCTGTTGTTGAAATCTAACTTTAAACCATAGTGGTCTGATAGAACACAGGAGGTTATTCCAATTGTTTTGTATCCGTTGAGATTTGCTTTGTGGCCAAGTATGTGGTCCATTTTAGAAAAGGTCCATGGGGAGCTGAGAAGGTATATTCTTTTTTGTTAGGATGGAATGTTCTGTAGATATCGATTAAGTCCATTTGAGTTATAACATCAGTTAAGTTCTTTATTTCTCTGTTAAGTTTCCATTTGGCTGATCTGTCCAGTGTCGAAAGTGGGGTGTTGAAGTCTCCCTCTATTAATGTCTGGGTTTTTATATGTGGTTTAAGCTTTAGTTATGTTTGTTTTACATATGTGGGTGCTCTTGTGTTTGGGGCATAAATGTTCAGAATTGAAGCTTCATCTTGGTGAACCATTCCTGTGATGAGTATGTAATGCCCTTCTTGATCTCTTTCGATTGATTTTAGTTTGAAGTCTATTTTGCTGGATATTAGAATGGCTACACCTGCTTACTTCTTAAGACCATTTGGTTGGAAAGTCTTTTCCCAGCCTTTTATTCTTTGGTAGTGTCTATCTTTGAATTTGATATATGTTTCTTGTATGCAGCAGAAAGATGGGTCCTACTTTCTTCTCCATTCTGTAAGCCTGTGTCTTTTTATTGGTGAATGAAGTCCATTGATATTAAGGGATATTAATGACCAGTGATTGTTCATCCCTGTTATTTTTTGGTGGTAGTGTGTGTGTACTTCTCTTCTTTGGGGTTTACTGCTGTGGCTTTATCTATTGCCTGTGTTTTTGAGGTTGTATCTGACTTCCTTAGGTTGGAATTTTACTTCTAGTGCTTTCTGTAGGGCTGGGTTTGTGGATAAATATTGTTTAAATCTGGCTTTGTCTTGGAATGTCTTGTTCACTCCGTCTATGATGATTGAAAGTTTTGCTGGGTATATTAATCTAGGTCTCTTAGTGTCTGCATTACATCTGTCCTGGTCCTTCTGGCTTTCAAGGTCTCCATTGAGAAATCGGGTGTTATTCTGATGGGTTTGCCTTTATAAGTCACTTGGCCTTTTTCCTTTGCTGTTCTTAATATTCTTTCTTTATTCTGTACATTTAGTTGTTTAATTATTATGTGGCGAGGGGACTTTTTTCGGGGGTCTAGTCTGTTTGGTGTTCTATAGGCTCCTTGTATCTTCATAGGCATTTCCTTCTTTAAGTTGTGAAAGTTTTCTTCCATGATCTTGTTGAATATATTTTCTGTGCCTTTGAGTTGGTATTCTTTTCCTTCCTCTATCTTTTCACGGTGTCTCAAATTTCCTGGACATTTTGGGTCACAACTATGTTGGCTTTAGTGTTTTCTTTGACTGATGAATCTGTTTCTTCTACTGTATCTTCAACACCTCTCTTCCATCTCTTGCATTCTGTTGGTTATGCTTGAATCTGAAGTTCCTGTTCATTTATTCAGATTTTCTATTTCCAGCATTCCCTCTGTTTGTGTCTTCTTCATTTTTTCTATTTCTCTTTTCAGGTCTTGGACCATTTCCTTCATCTGTTTCATTGCTTTTTCATGACTTTCTTTCAGGGGTTTATTGTTTTCTTCTGCTTTATTTGTCCTTTCCTCTAATTTTTTATAGTGTTCTTCCCATTTTTTGTTTATCTTTTCCTCAATTTCATTTTTGACTTCTTCTTTATAAGCCTGTAGCCTCTTCATGATGTTATTCAAAAGGTTGCTTTCTTCTGCTTCTTCCATTTAGTTCAGATCTAGCTGTTGGAGGAGGGGCTCTTCATTTTTCTGTATGTACTTCCGCCTTGACGTCTGCCCATCTCCTTGTAGATTCGGTCTTGGTCTTATCAGTGCTCTTGGTGCAGACAGAGCTGACAGATTCAGGAAGCCTCTCTCTAGTTCAGATAGAAGTTCTGGGCTGGATGGTAGCTGGGGGGTGGTCTCTGAGTCTCAGGCAGTGACTTGGGTCTTGGGTGAATGGGCATGTAGGCAGGGCGTGGAGATTGCAGGGTCTGCAGGGGGTCTTGGAGAAGGGGAACCTTCCTGATGGGGGTGATAGTGGGGGTCCTATCCATTGGCCAGAACCTGCTGCCAAGTTGGGCAGGCCTTCCCCCAGAATGGTTGGTGTCCAGGGATGGGACCTAGGGGCAGGCCTCTCTGGGTATGAGCCCAGGCACTCACCTCTTGTCCAGATGGGAGCTCCTGGGCACGATTCTTTATAACATTTTTAAACAAAATCTCAACCCTAGTTAGCATACCTGTTCCATAAGTAATTCCATTTCTACATAAATAGTTCCATAAAACAGTTCCATTTTTAACATAGAACAATTCATGAATCACCAGTTAATAAGGCATATATGCATACACAAAACTGCAACTTGAGCCTAGGTAGAAACAATAAAATTCATTTAAACAGTTCCATTTTTAACACAAACAATTCCATAAAACAGTTCCTAGGTCATCACCATAAGTAAATTCAAAATGCTCCCATTGAATAAAATCCCTATTGTCCATTTAATTTCTTAAGACCTAAGATTCAAATAATAAATTCTGGCACTAGCCTTCCAAATATGAATAAATCCATAACCAAAACCTTTTTGTAGTTTTATCTCTTTTTATAAGTTCAAAAAGTTCCAAAAAATAAATTTTGGTCATAGACTTTTACTTCCAAATATGAAAAAAAAATTTACAACCAAAACCTTTTTTTGCAGGTGACAATTTTAGTTCAAACAAGCATCTCTTCAAATTTCATTCTCAAGTCAGAGATATTTTTAGTTACAGTAACATTTTAACCTGCACCAATTTTGCTGCAAGCTTGGGATTTTCTGTGTTGCATTGGTTTTTCCAATGGGTCTCTGTTGTGGATGCCTGTCTGTGGTTGTTCTACTGGTCCTGACATCTGCCATTCTTATCTTCTTAGCAGTTTCTGGAGCTTTTGAAACCACTCAGACTACTAGCTTGCAGTCTGCTAGGACATTTCCTTCTATGTCTCAGGTTCCTTCATCGCATACATTAAGCATAGACTCATATTCAACTTTTACACTTTTTTACACACTCACATATAACAAATCAACATATACTTATTTATACTTCTTCTTACAAGCTAATATTCTTAAAGAAACTCTATAGGACTACCTTAGCAAATATACTTATATATTTACTTCTTATATAAATCTCTTAATACTTAGAAAAGATTTAACATTTTCTAATAAGACAGAATAGCAAATATACTTATATATTTCTTTACTTATTTCAAGCTTTAAAAAAGTCAGTGGACTCTTTATTCAGGAGCTCTTGGTGGGATGGCTCTGCTTCCTCTTCACCACCATAGGCTTCTAGCTTCACAAGATGGCACTGGCCCTGTGGATGGCCACTATTTGCAGATCCGTGGGTTCTTGTTCTTTCAGATCACGTGCCTGATTCTGCTGAGGGTGGCCCATGCATTCTTGTTGATAGTGGTCCTCACATAAGAAGTGGCTGGTTTTCACTGACCCGATCTGTGTTTCATGACCACCACAACCCCTTTGCCATCAGCCATGGGCTCCACTCCCACAGTCTTGTGGTGAATCAGCCCGTTGTAGGGGAAGGAGTTGTGGGCCTTCAGATTATTGGGTTCAGTGCCATACATCTGCTTATTCCTCTTGATTAGGAAACTGGAGCAATTCTGAATGATCATCCATTGCAGATGCGCAGCCATGGCAGTGGGTCCTCTCCCTATGTTGGCCAGAGATGGAAAGAGCACTTATTACAAGCTTATTAGTACATGTCTTTAAGAAATTCTATAGATCTATTAGCATATATCTAACTTACCAAACACCTAAAAGATTTCCACCAAACTTATACTATAAAACTATTAGAAAGACTCTATAACATGACAGGAAGTATGCAAATCATTTTTGAAGTTTAGTGTTTATAGTCAGCTTTGATATATAACACTGGGACTTAGTGAGTTGTAACTGAAAGTTTTCCTGTGCCCACCCAGCTCCTGTGTCCTTGTGGTCCCACAGCTGCTCAGACCCAAATGAACACACAGAGGCTTATATTAATTATGAACTGTATGGCTATTGGCTCAGGCTTCTCACTAACTAGATCTTACATCTTAAATTAACCCATTTCTATAAATCTATACTTTGCCACATGACTCGTGGCTTACCAGTATCTTTACATCTTGCTTCTCATGGAGCAGCTGGCAGCATCCTGACTCAGCCTTCCTATTCCGAGAATTCTCCTCTCTGCTTATTCTGCCTATACTTCCTGCCTCGCTACTGGACAATCAGCATTTTATTTATCAACCAGTCAGAGCAACACACATTCATAGCATAGAGAAAGACATCCACAGCAGTGAGTTTTGTTCTTTATGCATTCCAGCTCTTCTACAAAAACTCTATTAAGAGCTATCTCAGTTTAAACAGCAAACCCAAAAAGAGAGAAAACAGAAGAGAAGAGAAACCTTGTAAGGAATATTTTCTTTCTTTCTTCCTTCCTTCCTTCCTTTCTTTCTTTTTTCTTTCTTTCTTTCTTTTCTTCCTTCCTTCCTTCCTTCCTTCCTTCCTTCCTTCCTTCCTTCCTTCCTTTTTTTATTATCTAACTCATCATTTTAATTTAAAGTATTTGGGAAAAATACATTAACATTCTCGACAGGGTGTAGTGGGTAGTCATTCTAGCTTGATCTGGAAGGATCACCCCCATTGAGGCTTCGGTAACTGTCATGCCTACAAGGCAGAGGCAAGAGAGGACCCTTGAAGACCCAGGATCTGGATGGACTGGCTCTCTTGGTTCCTGGACCCTGGACACTGGAGGTAGACTGAGCAGAGTTCACCAGAGAACACCATTGGACTGTGCTACACCTTTCCCAGACCCTGTAGCCTATCCCTTCACTTGTAAGTTACCCCAAAAAATTAACCTCCCTTTTAACTACATGGAGTGGCCTTAATAATTTCACCAATAACAGGGAAAAGGAATCTCAGAAAATACGGTAAAAGTAAAAGTCACAAATGCTTTCCCAGGATAGAGGTGGCCTCTCTTGACAAGGGTATACTTAGATATGAAAACATGTAGCAGTAGCGCCTGCATTACCACTAACCGTTCACCATGTCTGAGCGAAGGGCTGCGGATTAAAAAATAGAGACAAGAGACAGCGAGTCATTCGTACGTTTGGATGTCGAATGCCGTTTATTGAAAGAGGGAGGAAACCTTAAATACAGGCTTACAACACAAATGGAGGATCCCCTGAGGGCAGAAGTTCGCTACCAATGGTCTA